GTGACTGGTGCTACTGAAATTAAGAGAGGTATCGAATCTCTTCCATAAAGTCCACCAAAAGTGAGATAAAAACTTGGTGTCACGATCTGAGGTAATGGACTGTGGCACCCCATGTAAACGAACCACCTCCTTAAAGAACAGATTAGCCATTTGGACTGCATCGTTCGTCTTCTTGCATGCAATAAAATGGGACATCTTGGAAAATCGATCGACCACCACAAAAACAGAGTCTGCTCCTCGCTGCGTCCTCAGCAACCCTAGAACAAAATCCATGGATAAATCCTCCCATGGAGCATTTGGAATAGGCCGTGGTGTGTAAAGACCAGTATTATGAGATTGGCCTTTATTAGTTTGGCAGATTGAGCACCGCCGCACATGGTTCTCCACGTCACGCTTGAGCTTTGGCCAATAATACCGTTCTTCTACCAGCTCTCGCGTCTTATCACGCCCCAAATGTCCTCCTAATCCTCCACCATGCAATTCACGAACCACTTGCTCCTACAAAGAGCTCCGTGGAATACACAACTGATTGTCATTAAAGAGAAATCTTTCCTGCATGTGCAACCCTTTAAAGGATTGGCTTGTTTTACATGCTGCCCAGGCTTGGCCAAAATCTTCGTCTGCCTCATATAACTCCTTCAGGCATTCGAACCCTGTGATTTCAGCCCTCATAGTTACTAAGAAAGCTGCTCGCCGACTTAGGCATCTGCAACTTTGTTCTGTTGACCTGACTTGTGTTTTAGCGAGAAGGTGAATCGTTGGATATAAGCCGCCCATCGCGCGTGCATCCGATTGACACTGTTTTGATTGTTAATGGATTTCAGTGCTTGGTGATCTGTAAACAGCACGAACTCTCGCTGGATGAGATAATGCTCCCATGTATGCAAAGCTTGCACCACCGCATAGAATTCCAACTCATAGGTAGTCCACTTCTTGCGTGCTTCACTCAGCTTCTCACTGTAAAACGCTACTGGCCTTCCTTCTTGTGATAGAACTGCTCCGATTCCCATTATTGAGGCATCACAATCTACCTAAAATAGCTTCTCAAAATCTGGAAGGACTAAGATTGGAGCTGTTGACAGTTTTTCCTTGATTAAGGCAAAACTTATCTCAGCTTCCCCTCCCCATTGGAATTTTCCTTTCTTCATGCATTCTGTGATGGGAGCCATAATACTACTAAAGTTCTTAATGAACCTTTGGTAGAACGTGGCTAAGCCATGGAAACTGCGTACTTCTCCCACATTCTTCGGCGTAGGCCACTCCCGAATGGCCCTCACTTTCTCCTCATCTACCCGAATGCCATCACTACAAACCACATAGCCGAGGAATACTAGGCTTGGGGTCACAAAGCTACACTTCTTCAAATTAATGAATAGTTTATTCTTCTGCAAAGCTGTTAAAACCTCTCTCAAGTGCAAAAGGTGTTCTGCCTCTGTTTGACTATAAACCAGAATATCGTCGAAATAAACAACTACAAATCGACCAATAAATGGTTTGAGTACCTGATTCATCAACCGCATGAAGGTACTTAGGGCGTTGGATAATCCGAATGGCATGACTAACCACTCATACAGTCCTTCTTTTGTTTTGAACACCGTTTTCCACTCATCTCCAGGGCGGATTCTGATCTGATGGTATCCACTCTTAAGGTCCACTTTGGTGAAGACTTTCGATCCCGCCAACATATCCAGCATATCATCCAACCGTGAAATAGGAAATCTGTACTTGACAGTGATTCTGTTAATTGTGCGACTATCAACGCACATTCTCCAACTGCCATCTTTCTTCGGTACTAGCAAGGCCGGAACGGCACATGGGCTCATGCTATCCTGAATCAACCCTTTCCGTAGAAACTCTTCCACTTGCTCTTGTAAGATTTGACTCTCGTTGGGACTCATTCGGTAATGTGGTAGATTTGGCAGGCTCGCCCCAGGCACCAAGTCAATGTGGTGTTGAATGTACCTCATGGGAGGGAGACTATCAGGTAAGTCTTCCGGCACCAACTCACTAAACTCCTGCAGTAATGGCTGCATTATTGCTGGTACTATAAAAGGAGGTTGTTTAACTACTTCCCCCTTGCACATAACAGCAAAGATTTCAGGGGCAGTTGTTACTTCGCCCATAAATTCCTCACTGTTGATCAACATAATTGAATTTCCTTTGGGAAATTCGGCTTCTTTCATCGGACCCAAAACAATCTTCTGACCATTCTTGTATAGAATATACACATGGCATGCATCCATGTCGACTACATCACGACGCACCTCCTCTGCATATGTTTTCCCAGTTGAGAATGGAACAGTGCAAGTTTTAGTTACTCGCGTTTCTGAGCCTTTCTTGATCCTTCCAATTTTGTATGGATGGAGATGTTTCTCTGTTTTAAGCCCCAAATTTCGAACCATTGTTAAGGAAACAATTTTCTCACTATTGCCGCTATCAATAATAACGTCACATACCTTATGGTTAACAGTGCAACGTGTACGGAACAAATTATGACGCTGCGAGTGCTCCTCCTTCTTTGGCGTGAACATCAACCTCCTCACAACTGAAGAGTGGGACAACAACTCGCCATTGTCCCCTTCAGTCACCTCTTCTTCTTCAAAGGTAAGGAACTCACCTTCCTCACCCTCGCCTTCCTCATGCTCGACCAGGTTTACTGTCGGTCGCTTGGGGCAATTGTTGGATTTTTGGCCAGGCTCTCCACATCGAAAACACTTGCCCATACTTGGGTATGCATAGGGATTCACACCTGGGGCTCCCCTTCCAGCAGGGCCTATGGGTGTTGCGGGTTTGGCTTTTGTTGGACCATCTCCAATGCCTCGCCATGTCATTGGAACAGGGGCTACCGCGGTCTGTTTACCTATGTCATGTGTATGATGTGGGGTATTATATGAACCACGAGACCGATTCTTTGACTTCTCCAGTAACGATTTTGCTCTCTCTGCCGCCGTGACAATCTCAGACAGTTTGAATAACGGTTGCAGCGCCACTTTCTCTTCAATATCCCATTGCAACCCGCCTTTGAAACGGGCCACCATGCTAAATTCGGGTTCCACCAGGTTGTTACGGAATGACAATCGATAAAATTCTTCAGCATATTCAGCAATCGTTCTGCTTCCCTGCGTGCAGGACTGATATTTCTGATAAAGAACCTGTTCGTAGTCAGGGGGTAAAAATCGAGCTTTCATCAACTTCCTCATCTTAAGCCATGTACGTACCGGATCCTTACCCTCACGTGCACGGGTAGTTTGCACTTGATCCCACCATGCTGATGCGCCGCCTTTCAACTTATATGCCACGAGTTTGACTTGCTTCTCCTCCTGGATTTTCATATAGTCAAAGAAACGTTCAACTTCACTAATCCAGTCCAAGAATTCTTCAATACGAAGATGACCTTGAAAGGTGGGTAGGTCAATCCTCATACGAAAATCCCTGGAATCATCAATTTCCCACCGACCTCGATTATCTCCAAACGCCTGTACGGCTCGGTGGTTACCAAAACTGACATTTTCCTCATAGGCTGGTTGCCTATTTGGTGGGTTTGGGTTGCGATTACCAGCAGGACGTCCATGATCACCGTCGTTGGGCAGCCTGTTGTTCTTGCGGTTAAGTTCTACCGTCGTCAATCTCGCCAATACTTGACGCATAGTTTCATGCATATCAAGCAGGGTTCGATTAACGTTGGTTTGGAACTCGGTAAACTCAACCCTCAAAAGAGCTACTCCATCACGATCACCGTCGCTGGAGGCGTTGCTTCCATCTCGTGAACCGGCCATCGAAAACAAAGGCGAATCTTGGATTCGGAACCTTGCTCTGATACCAACTAACGTAGCGGAAACGATAAAAAACAGGGTTAAACCCTTGAACTCACAAAGAACACACTCACAAGAGAGAAATTGAAATTATATTGATAATGATGATGTTTTTAGACTTACATTTCTTGCCTTTATATAGGCAAAAATAAAAAAAGAAAGCATGCGTGAAATAATATTAAAGGGGAAATCTGAGATTTGATAGAGTAGAATCCTCCTTAAATCTTGCAATGGAGAATAATATCTTCTATTGCTGGCAGCTACACCAAATCTCCTTTTGGCTTTTCCTTATTTATTTATTTATTTCCTTCTATTCTCCTTCCCCTTTCAGCCTCCCTGATTTGCGATGATTCTTTTGACTTTTCCTTATTTATTTATTTCCTTCTATTCACCTTACCTTTTCAGCCTCCCTGATTTGCGATGATCCTGTATGCTCAGATAATCGTGAGCGAGCTGTTCTACATCACATTCAATGGGATAATTTGGTGTGGAATGACTGAGACCACTGGTATCATACTGATTTGCTTAGAGTTTGATATGGTTGATGTAATTGTTAGTAATGTTGAGGTGATTTTGACTTTAAGATGGTGATCTAGAATTTGAGGATGTGGAAGTGGCTTCAACCATTGATTTTGATAATGCAAAGATTGATAAAACATGAGTGAAGCAGCAAATATTCAACCATAAAAGATCTTGGAGTAACAGACTTATTTCAACCTAAGAATTTCTAAAGTCTAATCTGATAGCAGAAAGAAAACAAGAAAAAAGAACCAAACTCGCAAAATACTTACTGAACATGAAATTCATAGCGAATGGAAAATTTCATTTGAATATTCAATGATTCTTTAAATGCAAGTGTAAACAGAATGTTCTTAATCATGAAAAACATTTATTCCTCCTACCCCTTGTTCCCCTTCTTGCCTTGGCCTTTTAACAAGTTGTTGTATAACAAGATGTCTTTCATTCCAGGAGATTTTAACTAACTGGACAACTGTTTTATGGTGCTCTGCAACTCTGTATTTGTCTAATCTTTCTGATGAAGCTACTAAAGATCAATCTGCTAAGGCATTTGTATTGATGTCTTTGTTAGTTGACATATTGATGCTTATTGGGTTTCCTATTGTAACTTCCCAAATTATTTACAGCAATACCTAATATTTTGAATGTTTTAATCTTTATCACTTGCAGTATCTTCATTCTTAAATCAGTTGTCATTCCAACGCTACAATGGATATTACCTGATCAGTGCCCACATATCAGATCTCAAGAACCATGCTCATTTGGCAGTATTGTAAAAATTTATTCCTTCTTGCGTTTTGGACTCGTACAACTTTTTTATGTGAGTATAAACTTGATGTCGTATTGATCTCTTCTTGTACTCTCTTGTTTAGCTTTGTTAAAGATGCTATATGTATGATGCCAATCATTGTGAAGGGCTTGCTGGCTGCCATTTAGTTGATCTCTTTTCTGGAAAAATGTATTGCACATGATTAATCACCACTGTTTGGTAAATGTTGTACACTAGTACAAGATATGTGATATTGTAAGTATGTTGCAAAAAGTGTTATGCCACTCTTTTGCATTAGAGGACTATTCCGTTTTATCAAATGTGATTTTGTATTATTTGGTATATTCTGCTCAAGTTGTATGTATTTTACCAAATATATCATATATAAAGTTACAGTGGTGGCATGTAGGTAACTTGTTGATTCTAAGGAAGCTTTTGGGAACTATTGGTATTTGTTATGCAAGGTTGGTGTTGGAGATGGGCTGATCGGTACACAAAAATATTGCAGTAAATGGAAATAAAACTTGATAGATACTTGAGAATAATAATAAGTCACCGGACAATAGGGCTATTGAAGCAGGATCAAAGTGAAGGGGAGAGAGGAGGAGAGATAGAAGAAGAGGGAAGAGATAGAAGAAGTGAGGAGAAGTCAGAAGAGAGAAGAAGAATAATCTTGATTCAATCAAAAGCTGCTGAAATTAATACATATGCCCAAATATATAGGTAACCCCAAGAAAACTGAAGAAAGAAGAATCAAATATTACTGCTGCTACAAATAAGGTAACACAATATCAAAATAAGCCTTGGCACCGGCCCTTGTGTAGTTTCAATGTATGTGTAGTTGTCGCTACCCAGCGTCGGTGTAGTTCTCTCCACCCAGTGCCAACCTATGTGTAGTTGCTGCCACTTAGGCTAGGTGTAGCCACACATAGCCGCCTATGTCTGGTATAGGTAGCAGGCCACCCTTGTGGTCTCCATCAATTATCCCCTAGGAAGCACGGACATGCCTAAAAGGGCAAAGAATCTGTGTTGGACACCGACACATGCCGGATTCGCCCCAACATGTGTCGGACACGCCAAAATATGTGTCTAAATATTTTATATTTTTTCGAATATCTAGACACGCTTGGTGATTATTAAGGAAGTTTTAGAAACAATGTTGAGTTCAAGTGTAAATATTAGGAGTTGTTTAATTACATAATTACTTAAAAACTTGTTTCATAAAACAATTTTATATTCAAACAATTAGATATTTATTCTTATATTTTAGTTCAAAGGTTTGAACCCTAGCACGATCATCTTTGACTCTCTTGTTGTCCCACCAACCAAGCTTCACTAATGGTGAATGGTCTCTCTATCTCTCTCCTCTCTTTCTCCTCTTTTCTCTCTTATTCTCCGGCCTCCTCTTTCTTTCTTCTTGTTCTTCACAAACCCTAAATACTTTATTTTTCCTTTCTTAATAAATTTCTTTTCGTCTCTTTTTCCTCTTTCCTCTATTCCCCATGAACTTTTTTCTCTTCTATGGATTGTTACCTTTATTTTTAACTAAGGCCTAGTTCTTTTTCTAACAAACCCTAATCCTCCTTTTTTTTTTTTTTTTTTTTTTTCTTGACCCTCTTTCTATCATTCTTTCTTTTTTTTCCAGCAAAACACACATTATGAGATTGTAAAAAATAATATTACTCTTAATTTCTTGCAGTACAACATCATATATATATAATATTTTTTATTTGCCGTGTCCCCGCCATGTCCGTGTCCTAATTTTTTAGGATTTGCCGTATCGTGTATCCGTGTCCCGTATCCATTTCCGTGCTTCTTAGATTATCCCCGACAGAGAAGAACTCTCCTTTGGAGAGTAAAGCTGGCAATATCACTCTACATGACGTCTGAATCTGAATGACCTTTACATTGAGCGAAATAGTGATAATTATTTCCAAGATAAGCAATATTAGTCTGATGGTCAAGAATATCAATATGGTAATATGATTGAAGTGGAGGAGGAACTGATGCGGATGTTGGAGAATATGCAGCTCTACCTATTATCTTGTTAGTGGAATTTGCCAATACAATAACACTTTTGTCTTTACAGTAGTAACTTTTATTTTTTCTTAAAGAAATTGAAGTTTCCCCCCCTTTTTGAGAAGCCCTATTAATAAAGGGTCATCATGACCAACCATTGGTGTTATAGCACATTTGAGTTTGAATTGGATTGTTACTCTTTTAATGTGAATAAAGCTGAATAAGTCTGTACCATTTCATCCGTCCCATTGTTTTGGATTGACAGGGATTAACACTGCTAATGACCTTTATTAAATTTGCGTCAAATATTTCTGAAATTAAACTTTAGATAAAATCCAAGTTCCAACAGCCTCTATTTTTTCTTCAATTTCCATTAGGATAGCATATCCGACTGTTCCTTATAGGTGTCAAGACCTACTACTTCACATGCTTACTGGTGTAAATGAGGCTTAACTTCATGGATTGAAAGCAGTTATGAGCAAGATACTCAACTCAACAAAGCCTTATTTCCATCTACTTGGCGTCCATTACATGAATCTTATTTTCTATTCTGATCTATTAAGGCCATATCCCACTCAAGCCACATTGTTTAGTATCCTTCCTAACTAAGTCTGCTCATTATAACTTGGTCTCCCCTTCCCTTAGAATTGCCCTCAATCTGGACCATGTCACCCTTCCGTATTGGTGTACTTAGTTATGAGCAAGATGTTTTCAACAAAATCTTTTATTTCAATAAGTATTGGAACATATATTGTCGATCCTAGAACTTCCAACTGAGATATTTCCATTTGATATTATCTCATTCGTTCCATGATGAAGTAATATCCTTGAGCTTAACATATTTTTGCTTCTTTTTTTTCTTTTTGCCTCGACTGTTTTCATATTTCTCATAGTAGCTTTTTTTTTGGCTTTCTTTAGCTATTAAGCTAACTTTGACTGCTTTTGATTCCTTCCTTTGATTATTCACTGCAGGTATTATGGTTCTACCCATTGTACATATTCAGCATTATTCTAAGCAATATCTGGTATTTGCTTTGTTTTTTTTTTTTTTTGGCCTTGCAATCGTCATGGCTACTTTTGTAGTTTATTATGTATATCTGTGCTAAACCAAAGAAAAGAAGGGCGTTTCCATATCTGTATTAGATGTATTGTCGTATTGAATCATTTGACACTATTAGATGATTGCTTTATGTTGAAATTTGTATGAATATTCTTGTAAGTTGCGTAATTGGTGAAAAATTATCATAGGGGATATTATTGTAAATCAAATCTTACTTATTATTAGTATGCATATGTGGGTTTAGAGATGTCAAAGTATTCTACAACTCTTTTTTACATCCTCTGCATTCATTCATTCATTCTTTCTTTCTTTCCTTCTTCAAAACCCTAATCATCCAAGACTTAAAACACAATCAATATTGTATTTCAACTTGGTATTAGAGCCACCAACTGAAGTCCTGAAACCTTCGAATAAGTCTAGAATACACCAGAGCAGGCCGAGAGAGTACTCGCATCATCAGCAGGGTGCTGATGTCAGCATCTTAAGTTCGGAACATGGCGATAAGCACATCGATTATTTATTATACTCTAATATGTTTCAATGTTTGAAACTGTTTGATGAGTCTTTTCTAGTTTGGAATTATTATTGGAATTTTGGGACTGATTTTGCGATCTTCTTATTTTGGAGTTTTTTGGATGGTTTTTTGGGTTCAAATCAGTCCCTAAGGGTGTGCCGAAACCCTCTGAGTGTTATTGTGAACTGTTGTTGAAAGCCGACTTCATTTTGAAGGTTTTTGCTGATATTTGAGGCGCGGCTAACTACTTTGGCTGCTTTTCACGTCTATTTACTATTTTTTTTATGTTTAGCAGTTCATTAACGCCGGGAATGATTTGTGGTAGTTGTTAAACATTTCTTTGGTTTTCTAAAGCTTCTGTTTTGTGCTTTTTGGGCTTCTGTTTTGTTCTTTCAGTCTTTGTTCCAGCCTTAGTTGTTCGGTGGTCATGTCTAGGAAAGATGAAGGTTCCACCAGTAGTGCAGGTGGAGGATTAGGTTGTACAGGGATTGTTAACTTGTTACACTCCATGCAACCACATATCAATTGTGGCTTTCTTCTTCTTGATTCAATCCATGCCATTTGGACTGTTGTGGCTCAGACTTATTATTAAATTGGGTATGATGCACTGGCCTATGAATTGAGAAAGAAGGTTCATGAGATCAAACAGGAAAATATGTTTATTACACAGTATTGTGTTGTTGCTCAATATTCTGTGACAATAGTAGGACTATTCTTGGGATTCTTGGGCAGATTGTTCCAATTTTAGTGCCAAATTCCCAAAGCTATTGGACAAGGAGCGTGTCTGTGATTTCTAAGCCAGGAGTAACATGGAGTATGACTGATTTCATGTTAAGGTGCTTGGTGGGGATCCCTTCCCATCTTTGAGGCAGGCTTGTGTATATGTCCAGCAAGAGTAGAGTCGTAAGAGTGCTATGATTCACGCTATGGCTTAGGATCACTCTGCCCAGGCCATTATGTATTGTCAGGCTGTTCATGATGATGATTCTCTTGCAGTCCAACAATTACATCACTTGCATAGGTGTTTAGGTCATCCTTTTAATAGCGTATTAAAAAAACTTCTTATTTTGGTTCAGCAGTGTAATAGAGAGTTTTATTTGTGATGCTTGTGAGTTTGCAAAGCATCAACGTAACTCTTATAGACTTATCCTATTAGTAATAATAGAAACACTGTTCCTTTTATTATGGTTCAATTTGATGTATGGGGCCATCTAGTTGGGTTGTTTCTCTTTTTGGATATCGGTGGTTTGTTACTTTTATCAACTGTTTTTCTTGGGTTACCTGGGTATATCTATTACAACATATGAGTGAGGTGTTTAAATGTTTTTAGACTTTTCACAAGATGGTATGTACTAAGTTGAGGCCAAATCAAGATCAATAAAACTGGTAATGGAATGGAGTACACTGGGGCGCATTTCAGGCGTACCAAGCTGAGCATATGGGATTGTTAATTAAACAAGTGTTGATACTCCAGCATGGAATGGTGTGGCTAAAAGGAAAAATTGCCATCTTCTTGAAGTAGCTCGCTTTTACTGTTTAGCATAGGCCTTCCTAAGCCTTTCTGGGTTGATGCTGTTCTCGTAGCTGCATAGCTTACGAGCTCTTGACTTTAAGGTTCCTATTGAGTTACTTTGCTACACTTACGCTGTCCTTTTTTCTTGCTTTACTTGAATAGAGATTTGGAGTTAGCCAACCAACTCCTATCATACGACCTAGTGCTTTCCAAGGTAGTGGAACTCATGCCATTACTCCATGAATATTTGGATGTGACTGTTTTTTCCATGATAATTGAAAATCTTGAGGAAAAAACTTGATCCCAAGGCGTTAAAGTTTGTATTTATTGGATACTTGGTGACTCAAAAGGGCTATGAGTGCTACCATCGTCCCTCTAGAAATACTTTTCTCAACTTGCATGTTATTTTAAAAAAGTCTAAGGCCTAATTCCTTCCTTCAAAACCATCTCTTCAGGGGGAGAGGGTAGAGGAAAAGATGTTTTCTTAGCCTCAATCTCAATACCAAGCCTATATTCCTATTCAACCTCAAGCTCAAGTTCAGGAGGAGTCTGCAAAACAAATGAAGGATTCCTTTCTCAACTTTTTCTCCATGAGGGGGCACAGGGTGAAGCACATACTCATTGTAAGAGACTGAATAGAGAGCATTTGCAAAGGTATGCTCGTCGGCATAGATATCAAATGGAGCAGATTACTTCTCACGTGACTCCACAAAAGTTGGAATCTTCAACTCCAATTTCAAATCCTATATTACCTTCCTATTTATCAGTTGATGAGTCTTCTATCATTCCTGTTGTTGATAATAGTGATCTTCCAATTGTTCAAAAGGGAACTGGGGATTGTATCCAACATCTTATTTCTAAGTTTTTTTCTTATGATCTCTTATTTCCTTCGCATTTGTTCCTCTTTGTCTTCTACATCTATCCCTTAAGAGTTGGAAGGAAGTTCTTGCAAATCCTAAGTGGAAAAAATCAATGGCAGAAGAGATGAGTGCTTTAGGGAAGAAAGGGACATGGGAGCTCGTTTCACTTTCAAATGTTGGAAAAATCCGTGAGGTGCAAGTGGGTATTTATGATCTAGAGGTTGTAAGATCAGATACGAGCATTTTCATTCCTTAAAAGAAGAACATCCTTGACTTTTCAGAAGAGACCATGTTAGGCTGTAAACTGGCAGACTCACCTAGACAGATTAATTTTCAGAATTATAAGGGTGAAGAAGTGGACTTGATAAGATATCAGAGATTAATTTGTAATGGGTGAGTGTTACTAGACAATTTATGTATGATGATCCTTTCATCACTTAGTTAGAGACCCATTATCACATTTTAAGATATTTAAAGTTTGCTCCCAACAAAGGGATCCTATTCTCTAATCATGGACATTTGAAACTGGAGGGATGCAAATTGGACAGGCTCATTTAATGATAAATGGTCTACCCTCAGGTTATTGCACCTTTATAGGAGGAAATTTGGTTACTTGGAGGAGTAAGAAATAATTAGTAGTGGCTAGGTTCAGTGCTGAAGCAGAATACAGTGCTATGGCCATGAAGTATGTGAACTCATGTGGTATTTAGACCTTGATGAGTCATGTGGGCATTATGGATATAAGACTCTGTTGTGAAGTCAGAGGAACAACTAGTTGATGTGTTCACTTAAGGTTGAGTAGTAATTCCTTCCTATTCTATTGCAGGGAAGTTGAGCATGAGAGATCTATGCACCAACTTGTGGGGGAATGTTGAAATATGTGGGAATATTCTTGTAAAAAGTGTAATTAGCAGAAAATTACCACTTGTTCTGGTATTGTCTCGTTAATATAACCATGTTGGTGTAAAGAATTAGAAATATTATACAACCATTCTTTACATCCTTTGTTAAACCCTAATCATCCGAAACCTAAAACACAATCAATATTGTATTTCAATTCTTTACTTATAAAATAAAGAAAAAAAACCTTTGGATATTGGTTGTAATAATTAGAACTTTGGGAAATGACTAACATTGAAATTACAGTGGCGTAGTGAGAATGACCTCATGGATGTTGACTATACCATCATTTTTTGTTGTTTAGAATTATGATGGCACGGTGCAACCTCACGAAGACGTTGACCATTCCGTCATACGCTCATCATACCATCTTCTTCTTCACACAAAGGATGGATCTATAGAAGATTGATGTGTAATAAAAAGGTTTGGAATTCGACCTCCCTTGTATGGTCTAGAAAGAGAAAGTACTTCTTTCACATAAATGATGGATCTATAAAAGATTGATATGTAATAAAAAGGTTTGGAATTCGACCCCCCCTTATACGCTCTAAAATGAGAAAGTCTCATTGATTCTCTTATCATTAAAAATAAAAAATAAATAAAGCCACTTTTCATATCAAAGACGATCAATTATCAACCCAAGAAGCTAGCAAATCACATTGAGAAAAGTGTGTTCCACATTTCATCAAATTATATTATTTGTGTTTTTCCTTCTTTTTTGGTTGTTTTTTATCCCCTTTTTTCTCATGGCCGACTCTTTCTTTCTTTCTTGCACGTATGTGTGGCTGCTGGTGGGGGTTGGGTATTAGCTTGAAAAAATTAATTATTATGGTGAATGAATCATTATGGTGCATTATTTATAAATATATAACACACACACATATACTCCCTGTGTCCCAAAATTGTTGGGTTTTTTTGGGATTCCAACTTTTTTTGGAAGTGGGTTTTAATGCTTTTTTATTGTATTGATAGTTAGTGATTTTCCAAGTTTATCCTTATAAAATAGGTAACTTAACTATTTCACTTTTTACTTGGAAAGGGTAATTTGGAAATGTTATAAAAAATAGTACACATGGACATGTATTTTGGGACATCCCAAAATAGAAAGATGGACAAGAATTTTGGGACGGAGGGAATATTTTGTATAAAACTAAATTGGAGGTAATAGAATTTGTTGCTGTAAACTGGGTCAATATGATATTACCACTCATGTTGGACTTATTCATTTTATGAAAGAATATAGCCATATGTTAAACCTGGGTTGTGGATATGCCATATGTTAAATGCATTATCCTATGTGGTACAATCTTATATTTAGGTAGTATAAGAAAAGGACAGTTCTTGTATGCCTTCTACCCAGTGCTTGTTATTGACATCAGTGTATGCCTAAATATTTTCTACTGAATTTTGGAAGACTCGTTAAACATTTATTTTTATTTTATTCCTGTGTTAGCTATTCTAAAGTTCAAATGATACAAGTTATTTATTTTTTTGCTGCTGTCTTTCCAAGTGTAACTCTCTCTTTACAAATCTGCAGTTTTAAAATTATGTGTCAATCCAGGTACACTGACATTGCTAAGTATGGTTTTGCTGCTGTTGGGAAAAATGGGTCTAATGTTACAGAACCTTCAAGCCAAAAGGTCTCAACTTCACGAAGTACAACTCTTTTGGATAAACCAACTGACATTGAGGGGTAAATTTCCAATTTAGCTTTTACTTATAAAAAAGAAGAAGTTCCTATTTAGCTTTTGTCTGATGGTATCTAGAATGGTGGCATTACTGCCGATTGAGGCATTATGTTTTAAAGTAGCAATCATGTTTGTATGACATGCGGTGGATCTATTCTATTGTTCAAAATATTCACAGGGTCATGATTGGAGTAGCAGAGCAGGTTTATTCAGTCCTCCTCTTGAGCTTCTTCTTTCTAGAGGTAAGAAAGTTTTTTTTATATTCATTTCTTTTTTGTTGCATTATTTTGTTCTTTCTTGATACTTCCTGTACAAACTCAATGGCATTTGGTAATAATTTTAAAAATAATGGAGTCAACAGCCTTTGGGGGTTATATGCAGGTCTATGTTACAGGATTCATACCCTATGTTGGGAAGGCACTCAATTTCCTACTTCTATGCTGGATGTATGCATACTACTGCTTCGAGTATGTTGGGAAATTTCTTATTGTTTTGTTGTTGAAGATTTTCTTATGGTATTCCTTTTGCACGTAAAAATGTTTATATAATTGCTCACTGAAAATTTCTTAGGTACAAATGGAATCTTTCTGGACTGAGTTTGGAAAGAAGGCTGGACTTCTTTGAATCCAACTGTGCATTTTTTGCTGGTTTTGGTATAATTCTTTCCCTGGAGTTGAATGGATTCTGGTCACTTTCTCTTTCTTGTCTTATGGAATAGCCTACACCATGTTGGGGTATCCCTCTCCCCCAACGAGCCATGTTCGTACCACTGGATTTGTGTTAGTTTTCAGTGGTCTCTCTTTTTAACCACTGGCTATGCAGCTTCTTAATACTTAAACATGATATAATTGTTGTTCATTATTGTTGAAATCATGTTACACAGTAAAGAACAGATTTGGGGAAAAACTAGAGAGACCATCGTGACCTCTCTTCTTGTTATATATATATACACACCTATTTTATGTTACAACAAAATTACTAACATACTCTTATAAGAATTTTCCCAAATATAGCCATATATATTTTACATTCTAACAATTTTTTTTTTTTTTTTTATGTGGTTCCACTATAACAAGTTGAACCTGACTAATAAAGTATCGCTGATGGGTAGGGCTATAAAAATGATAGGTTCTCTTTGCTATTCAAAGGAAAGGTTTTAATAATGTTCATTTTCTCTAGAATTATGTTTCCCCATGGATCGGTGGCATCTCAAATCGAAAAAGAAAAATTAGTATCTTAATGGTGTACTAGAATTATATATTTTCCTTTGTCTTATTCGTATGATGCATGTATTTGTTTTAGTATATGTGATGAGGGTTTTTTCTTTAGTGTTTTACATGTTTCTATATTCCAGTTGTTGGGCTATATTTAATGGTATTCTGCATGTTCTAACCTTTCAGGAAGCCCTTGCGTTCTGGCTATATTTTTTTTCTCTCCTCTTGTGAGCTACGGGGTTATGGCTATACTCTTTCCTCTGGTCTCTCTCTCTCTCTCTCTCTCTCTCTCTGTTTGTTAACTTTGGCATTTGTCTACATTTTTTCTTAATTTTTTGATCAATTTTTTTCTGCTCTGTTCTTGCACCTATATTTCAGTATGCACACATATCTTCTAGGTCATTCTGTACTTATAAGCTTATCATGTTTTTGTGCGGTGGTTTGATGGAAGCATGTAAGTCATTATGTGGAAATTAAATAAGACCAAAAGTGTATTTGTTAAATTCAAATAATAGGTTAAAAAGGAAAGCGTCAAAGACATTCATAAGATAAATAGTTCATGAAGACTCTTAAGAAGAATCGTATTAGGAAAATGAAACCTGTTATAACTTATTATGTAATATCATCTGTTATACTGATGCAGTGCAAGGCTGCACATAGTTGTGCTGGGGTCAGGGGGATGAAGTAAGCAGTTGTGCTGGGGTCAGGGGGATGAAGTAAGCAGATAAGCTGGAAGTAATTGTGCAGAAAGGGGAACAGTGATCCAAATAAGGAAAAAATTTACTCCAGAAAGAAACTTAACCATAAAAAAAAAATCAGGACAACTAGGTCAGCCTGGCTGTCTCTTTCCTTATTTTCATTGTTTTTTATACAATTACCCGGTAGGCTAGTAGAGCAAAGCTCTGATTCAGTTACACCTCCAATAACTCATGCTGAACAAAGAAACGATTCCCTAAGAATACTAATTTTTTATAATGGCAACAATAAGATTCTTATGAAACTGACCCTTTGAACTTCCCTTGATTGATATTCCTGACAAATATCTGAGTGAAGACTGATGAGTTTTATAATTAATTCCTCATGCATGGTTGCAAACTTCCATGCTGCAACTTGCAATTTTATTTTTTATGATGTTTGGCTTGCCAATTATGTTGTTTGTTATATATTTATGTCATATCTTATAGGTTTGTTTTTACTGACCGACCATCTATTGGAATTATATAAAATTTTCAATCCTCATGCATGGTTTGCAAATTGACACCTATAAGGGGTGAATGTTGCCCCTCTGGGATTCTTTTTAAAAAATAAAACTGAAATGTCAATTTGAAAAGAAAAAAAAAATCTATGGTGATCTCACTAGTTAATTTATGGTTTGCAACTATTAGATTGTGTCAGACTTCAATTAGAACGTATTGTTGGATTTCTTTTTTCTTTTCTTTTTGTCCCTGGATTCTTGGTCTTTTTTCTTAGTAGAACTTTTGTTCTGTCATCTTTTGATGTATATCATAATCTCATTCCAGGTATTCTCGTTTGTTTATAATGAAAATACTGTTGCCAAGTACTAATAATTGTTAATTTTGTTCTTTCTAAATAGTTGATAGTTATTGGTGATCAATTCTGCTCATTGATGTTATTCAAAAAGTTTCTGTTATGATTTTTAATTGAATTCAAATTGTGGCTTTATAATTATATTGCAAGCACTATCTTCTAATTAATAAAATTATTGTTCGTTTTTCTACTTCCATTATGAGGACAATGGTAACCCCCCCACCCCACAAAAAAAAAGAAAAAAAAAAAAAAGAGTAGGAAAAATAGAGGCAAAGTTTTGGCTCTGCCTTTGCTTGGTTGCATATCCACTCTCCTCATTCTTGAGCTGTCAAATCTTTCTAGAGGAAGTTGCATTAGCTTTTATAAATTCCTAAATTGATGATGTTAACTTTTGTGTGTTACCAGTTTGTTCTGACAGCAACTAGTACTGATGCTGACAAAGTCATTGCTTGTCAAAGGAGAAAGTGGAGTGGTGCAGAATTGGGAAGGGTTCGAATATTTTATGCTTCAGATTATTTATCGTAAGCTGTCCGCTTCATCTTTCTTTCTTTGCTGAAAGATATTACCACGTGCTTTATTAAATCTTAATTTATTTTATAGTGTAAATTATATGAAAGGGATCATCATAATTGCTTCACTTGGAACACATTTTTTTATCCTTGAAACTCTTATTGTTGATATTTTACTCTAAACTCTGTTATGACATAGCAACTGTTAATAACTGCTTCAATCTAAGCTCATCTCCTCTTAATTATTACAAATTCACCAGAAATGGTGTGATAATCCTTGCTTATAACACAAAAATGTCAAGATGATTGGCATGCTCATTATAATTTTTATTTTAAATTTCATAATTTAGTTGGTTAGAGGAAAATGAGACGTGCTTCAACTGAAATTACGACCTATAATAGAGTGGTATGGAGAAACAAGATTCTTTCCTCCAACCCCAGGAAAAAGGCTAAGTGTAAAGAAGGTAATTTAAAAAACATTTGTATAGTTGGTGATATCAGACATTTCCTAGGACGTTTAAGTACTGAAATGTTTATAGATACTCTCTTTTTCTTCCTTTGTGGTACGCACAGTGTGTGCGCATTCATTGAGGTCCTATCATGGTTGGTTGACAAGAAGTCATTAGGGCATTGACTTTTTGAATCTAAGACCTTTGACCGTGTTAGGTCAATAACCAATTTCATTAAAAAAAGGGATTCTATAATTTGGATTGTTAATTTTATTTTTTTATTTTTTTATGTTTTTAAAAAGATAGTTTAATTTGTTGAGTTACCCCTACCCAAGAACAAATTGGAGACTTCAAATGGTTCAACAAGGGTATAAAGGTAATATCATCTCTCAAATTGTGCACTCACCAAATTAGGTTCCATAATCATACATTCACATTATTAAATATGTCAGGGTTTATAAATTAAATCTTTTGATCCTTAAATTTTTGTTTTTGAATGTTGTAAATTAGAAAAGTTGAGTGCTTAAGTGTGAGGGAGTTCCATTGATCAAAGCTCATTGGACTAGGTTCGATCGATCAACCTAAGCCTCAATCACTCCTCCTTATGGATACACTTGCTTGAGGCATGCTTCGATCCAAGGTTTGGTTTGAAGAGAAGAAAGACGGTACTGTGCAGAATAGCAGTTTTCAAAAAGGTTTCAAATAATTGCACCCTAATTTTTTTTCAGCCCCAAACTCATATAAAGGACCCTATTCTTTAGAAAATATACGAGCATGAGCATTATTGTGTTGTGAGGCATATTAGGGTGCATCTTGGCTACCTGATTTAATTAATTTTGTCTCTTTCATTCAACGTCATGTCGTCATATCATACAGATGGTGGGTATATATGAGTGCTATCACCGTTAATCCTAGTACTTTTAAGGAGTTCAACACACGACAAATTTCACACAATATACGAGGATTGGATTATTAGAAAAGGAGGTCAAGACACAAGTTGAAGGGCAGAGGTAAATTGATAATTTTAGGGTTGAGAATTAGGTATCTAGAGTTGTACCCTTTCTTCTGTAGTGGATTTGATTTGCCTCGACTAGGGCTCATGAATTTTTCCTATGAGGTTTTCCATATAAAATTTGATGTTCTTGTGTGAATAATTTTTATTTTTCTATATTTCTGCACAAACCTGATTTTTATGTATTTGGTTTTGAGGCCTATTCACCCCCATCTAGATCTAGTTGGGGCTTAGCATACTCCTAGGGTGCCAGTCCCACCCCTCAAACCCCGGTCCACTCCCCAGTAGGGGTACAATTTTCGAAGGCTACTTCTGAATCCAAGCTATTCTAGAAGGAAGGAATTCTGAAACAATCTACTCACTTGGTGGAGTTTCTTATCCTATGAAATTGAAACAATCCACTTGTTATACATATACTGGAAAGTCTTAGGGAATAGCCCTGGGAACCTTGTCCTGGCCATCCTTTGATTGCAGTCGACATTTTGGCAAAGTTTATCCGTTAACAGCTGAATGTTTTGATCGTTTTTGACTCATGGTCACATCTGCAAACATTTTCCCGTGGACCAATGACCTCCCTATCCAGGCGTTGATCTATATTCTCTTGGTGAGTAAGTAATGAAAGCATAAAAAATATATATATAGGGAAAGTTACACAGACCTCCCTGAGATTTGTTGAAATTACAGTCCTCCCCTATGTTTCTAAAATTTACACCGACTTCCCTTGAGGTTTTACTTTTGGTATCAGGTTCCGCATCCATTTACGGTCAATGCAGGTAAACGACGTTTTTTTTATTTTTTTATATTATTTTTTCAGCATATAAAATGACATGCGCAAAAATACTGAGTTGCTCACAATCTGCATCTCTCCGTTTATTTTCTCATGCTTAATATCTCATTCTAATTATCTTTTTAACTTAAAAAGATATTTCCTAATTCGTTAGAAGAAGAATAAAAAATCTCAAGAAATTAATTAATAATTAAACATGTTGTTCAAGTCATGGGTGCAGCATTAATTGATTTATTTTACTTATAAAGAAAAATTAATAATAAAACATGTACAAGGCATTGGAATGACTGAATTATCATGTTAATGGCCTCTCAATAAACACTTAAGTAATTCCTAATTGAAGGCCTAAACCTGAAAACTTGCACATTTTCTTGGAGGGAGGAGGGATAGAAACTGTCCAAAATCGGAAAAAAAAAAATTGCAAACAAATGATTAACCAAACAATTTCCACCTAAAATTTCCCAACAGAAGATGAATTGCCAAAGACAGCTCCATTGGCCACCATCTTCCAATAAAATGGATTACCCATTCTCTTGATCAAGGATCCATTCGCTTTTCCTCATACATGCAAACATATTGATTCCCATATGATGTTAGTAATTGGGAAACCAACGATTAGATCTGGGCAGAATATGTCTGGACCCAGAAGATTTTCCGGTGTGGGTGGACTAGGAACAAAATAATGTGTTGGGGATGGAAATTGGCGTTAGTAGTACTGAAAGCAATTTGGAACAACTCTGTAGTCCAGATGACAGAAGTCACTGAAGCTCACATAACCCATATACACTTTGCTCAGAGGTGTTGGCCTCTCTCAAGAACTGTTTCTATTAATGGTTTCAACCCTAGAGGAGACCAACCATTGAGGAGTTGCTGCAACAGCCGTCCCTGACTGAAGTTTCCATGCAAGACTACTTTAATGCCTCTTTTCTCTCTTCTATTCATGATTGTCCACTTCATTTGCAGCTATTGAAAAATCTTGTTCTAATGTTCTCACATTTTATGTCTTTGTTCTTATTCAATCTATAATAATATGATAACACTAAGGATATTGCCTTATATAAGGATTCATTCGCTGACCCAAGTAGTTGGAAAAAAGGCTTTAAGGTGTTTTAGTAATCAACAGTAGCTTTAGGTGGAAGTTTGTGGAAGAGTGCAGTTTCAGCCATTAATTGTTCTACTTGGGAAGAAAATAATAGAATCTTTGATAAGAGCTCTCACATTCATGACGTATAAATAAGATTATGTTTATGGAATCTTCGTGGGTTTATGTGGCCTGAAGTCTTATGAAGTGCCTTTCATGTTTTTCTTTTTCCTTTTACTTTCTTCACCCATTTATTCCAACAATTGAAATGCTACTTCAGTGCGCTCTAAATCATCTTCCATGACCACAATCTGGTGGTGTCTCCTTTCCCATTCTGCTTCAAGCTTATTGTGGAAGGTTTCCTCACTGGGAATTGGGGGAAGTGGGTTTTGGAGTTACTTTTAGAAGCCATAAAGAGATATGATCAACTGTTCCGTGGATTAGGATACGCGTGTCTTGTACAGTTATGTGTCCAAGTGTTGAAACATATCAAATTCCGAAACCTTGACATAGGGATATTGCTAAATGTTTATATTATTAAATAATTCTCTCTTATTTTATAGAGTAAAATAAAGTATTTGTATAACATGGAGTTCAATGTATGCATTTCAGTCGTTTTCAGGTAGTAATGACATAATGTCATAAAATTGAATTGTTGGATATACTTTTTAGGTGTATGTCCAGGCAAACGGAGTGGACATATATTCATTCCCATGTCCGAGTGTCACACATCGGACATGAGTGCTTCACATGCTACTAAAGAGTCCATCTAACATAGATAAGCAGTACAGTGGCTCAGAGGAGATTGGACGGTGGTTTAAACCTAAAACCCTACCTTGGTTCAAAACAATTTCTATGGCTTAGCCAATACTAATCTGTAAATGAAGGTTTGTGGTGCTTTATTATTTTATATATTAATGAGATCACTAATTCTGCATTTTGATGCATCTTGTTCTGTAGGATGCGGATTTTGTCTCTCATCCCCTTGAGTTCTCGGGAATCAATGCAAGACAACAAGACACTCTAAGAAGTTATCGCCCATTGTGCTACTCATTCCATGGAATAATCATTGACATACAAATTGAATGTGGGTTTGTTCTGATGAGCTCTGGAAAATGTACATATGGTGTGTTTTTAATGTGCAATCTGAGTCCCATTTTCGTGTTGGCTTTCCGCTTCATTTCAGAATTCTAATATACTTCATATATGATCCATCCATCCTCGTGTTTTCTGCAGCAGATGCGGTTTTTATTTCAAAATGGTGCCTGCTTAATATGTACTACGTAAATTGAAGCCCAGCAGCTCAAGGTGTAAAAAGAACAACTTCCGGGAAGAATCAATCTGTAAAGTCCCGGCAGCTCAATGTGTAAGAAAAACAATTGCGTGAAGGAATAATTCTGTCTAGTGTATTACGGAATACAGGTTTGATCGTGTATTTAAGTTCATATATATAGAAATTGGATTCAAAATCAGTTGAATATTAATTTCCATGTTCGGCTAAGGGAAATCTTATAGAGGAAATAGTGTCTAACCCCTTTTATAATTATGCAGTGGACACAATGTCTGGTGTATTGCTTCTTATTTCCTTCATTTGTTAAAGAATCTCTGCTTCCAGTTCTGGAGTCATATTTTGGTCAAGTGGATTAAGAAAATAGTAGTTAATGGATTAAGAAAATAGTAGTTAACAATTGGAAATTAAAAATACAAAACAAGATATTTAAATCTTACACTATTTTCTATTTTGTGTAGTCTTATAGCTCCTATTGGTTGGATCTATATGTTTGCTTGTACTGTTAGAACATGCCTTTGATTGTGTTGAGAGAGCAGTATGTTTTTGTACCGGTTGAAGGTTTTATTGTACTGGTTGAACCTAGGGTTATGAATTTTCATGAGTTTTTACTTATAATTTTTAACCAAACACTTAGAAGAGGGACTCTCTATGTATAAAAACTTTAAATAAGAAAAATTATTGAAAATCAGCCCGATATTTTCTGCGTAGTGTGTTGTTACTCATCCCTGATCATGTTAATCCGAGTTGTAATGAGCTTATCAAAAGCAATCAGAGGAGCAGATTCAATTCAATTTCTTCGCATGAGTTTGTGGAAGGAAGAGGAAATCTACCTCTATGAGAAGCAGATATTGCGAGAGGATTGCATTGGAGTGAATCAGTGTTACTGGTGATTTCAAAGGCACTGGAGTCACTGAGAGTCGGAGGTAAAACAACATACATACGGGTGTGGTCCCCATCACAATTGGGAGCCACACTCTTATGCTAAATTGGAAGCCAAAACGTGAGAGCATATTTATTCCGCTTAATACATTATTATTTTAATTTATTTTTAATATAATATGTTTTAAAGTAATGAGATATTTATAAAATATTATTTTTATTAGTTAAATTACAAAACAGTTATAATTTTTAATTGTGTTCATTATATCACAAGCATCTACCCGCCATTAGAAAATTATATTGGTTTTTGTGTTTTTTTTTTTTTTACTTAGTTGATACTTACACACTTATGTCTCCACTGAAGTTCGAACCTTAACTTTCTTTTGGAAGTAGGGGCTGGTAGGCCCGTTGGTAAATTTCTATTGGTTTTCTATAAAAGGTTCTAGGTTTAATTCTTATTATTTGTACTAACTATCTATATTTAGTCATTATTCGAGCCAAACAACACCCAGTTAAAAGCAATTCGTGAATTCAACCGAACTCAAATGAATTCTAGTTTTGAATTTGTTAACTCTAGAAATTGAGTTCATGAATTTTGTGCGAATTTGCTCACAAATCGAGCGCGGAGCATGGAAGCGAAACCCTCATGAGTGATTTAAATGACTTCACTCCTATGAGTAGGGATGGCAAAATGCCATGTCGTTCCATTTAGAACGATTACGAGGGTAGTTAAATGATTTTAGTGTGGGAATGGGAGTTATGATTGAAAACCCGCATAGTTATTGGGCATAAATGGGGAAAAATTACCTCGTCCAACCCCTTCTCCCCTCCCCCGTTTATAGTGATAAATTATAATTTTGTCCTTATACTTAATTTTATATCAAAAAAAATTATTTATACACTAAGCAATTTTAGTTTATTTTATTCATATCACTAAATATCATTCTGCATTATTCTTATTATTTTAGAACTTCTACGTATTATTTTTAATGTTACAATAATATTAAGTCTCAATTTTCAATTAAGAAGATAAATCTTGTTTTTTATCCATATAAAAGAAAAAGAATTATTACCATACTTGAAAATTATTTACTTTTAATAGATTCGTAATGGAATTACGAAATACTCTACAAAATCCGTCACAACTTTTCCCCCACCCTGTTTAATAAACGGTTTTGGACGAAGATATAGGTAGCTATGTGAAACGGGGATAGGGATGGAGTTGATAATGAAAATAGCGTTCCCCCATCTCAAAGTTGGTGGAAGCACTGGCGGATCTAGCGTAGGGCTGGGCTGGGCTGGGCTGGGCTCCAGCCCACCCCAATTTTTTATTTTTTATTTAATTACTATGGGTAATTTTAGTCCAGTCCAGGAAAAAAAAAATTATTATTAGTAATAGCCCACCCAAACAAGCCCAAATCAGTTAAGCCACAATACCAAAATAAAAGCCCAATCAAAAAACAGGCCCAGATTCTCCCCCTGACTTCCTTTTTCAGAAATTTATAGTTTTTTTTTTTTTTTTTTTTTTTTTTTTTTTTTTTTTTTTGAGAAATTAAGCTAAATTTATGTAGATATATAAACAGCTTGTTTGGGTTTAAGGAGACCACAAAAATTATATATGTTTGTTGATGAATCCAAAGCTACCAAACAGAATTAACTTGTTTCCATTCTTGGTTTACTTTTCAAAATTGCAACCTAACAGAAAGAGAAAGCTAGAGAAGTCGATCTAAGAAGGAAAGGAGAATGTTAAGAATGACTATCATGGTTAGAATTTTAATTGATTTATAAAATAAAACTACAAACAAAAAATGCAATAATTCAATCTTCAAAACCAAAAAACCACCAATCATGGGTAATTGAAAACAAGAAGAGAAAGAACAGAAATCTGGTGTGTCTTACTCATTGTGTTAATTCTTGAAAAATTCAGTTCTTCAGTTCTTTATTAATGATGATTGCCCAGGCTAGCTAATTCATTTATTTTATGAACAACATACAACTTAGTTTGATTTAGGCATTTTAATTTTATATTTTTTGATTTAGGTATTTTTAATTTAACTCATTCTTGAACGGGACCTTGTTTGGAAAATTGACTTGGGAATTTATTATCGACGAATTCGAGTCATTGAGCACAACTTAGATAAATATTTTGTAATATTTGAATTCAAATATTAATCTTGATTATGTTATATAAAAAAAATTGCTTAAGAAATTGTGTTATTAAATTTATGTTTAATTTTAACCCACCCCATTGATAATTCCTGAATCTGCCCTTAGGTGGAAGAAGATGTTGAGAAAAGATGAAGGGAATGAAGAAGCAATAAAAAGGGCAAATAAAGCATTATAATTTATAAAGAACTTTGATGAAAATAAATTGCAGAAGTAGGATTTGTTTGACATAATAAAATTTTTTAATACTTAATTATCGCTTAAAATTTTGACTAACAAGGAATTTACTCTATTTTTTTTTTTTTTTTTCCCCATGAACCTAGGCAAAACATCAGACAAATTAAAGCAAAGAATATTGAAGAATCGTAAATGATATTGATACACCATCCCACTCTTCAAAGTCCAAAAGGGTCAGAATCGAAACTCTAAAATCTGAAAATCTAAAAAATTCCTCAGCCAAAAAAAAAAATAATTTGTAAACACATATGAACATTTGGAAGCCCACTCCTATAATAATAATAGTGATAATAATAATAAAAAATAAATAAATAGTAAAAATTAAAAATTAAAGCAAAGAAGAATGTTATGTTGGTCAGAGGCTATCAAGACTATTAATTCAAGAGTGAAGATGACTCAATTCTTATTACTGTTTGCAACTTTTTATTTAAAGTATCAAGAAAAGTTTATTTATTTATTTATTTATTAGTTAAGTATTGACACACATTGCCCCCGCCAAGTATTCAACCTCTGTCACTTTAAGGATCATAAGTTCGCCATATGTGAATGTATTTCATGAGTCCGTTACTCGTGTGTGCGCAAATCATTTGTCATGATGATTCATGTTAATTTTATTTCTTTTATTCCGTATTTAATTCTGAATGTATTTCATGAGTTCTGTGTGCAAATCATTTTTTCATGATGATTTACGTTAATTTCATATATTTTGTTGATATATATTACCCAATTTATTGAGTTTTATGATATTTGATGCTAAGTAAAAAGTCGCACTAAAATTCAGTACAGTTATTCAATCTTCAAAGTATAACATATTTTATACTGAGGCATTGGAGAAAACTAAAAGGTAATTTGATTGACTCAATTTTAATCTTAATTGTGCACATAAAATTGTCAAAAAAAATTATAAGATATAACTGGGTCATTATACATTTGTCAATACTCTCAGTAAGAATTTTTAAAAATAATATTATAATTTAAAATGAGATATCAATAAATTTAGCTACTTCTATACCACTTTTAAATATATTTTACTTTATACCTAATAGTGATAAAATAAATTCGGATTCCACTTTTATATATTTTCTAACTGAATGTATTCTATTAACATTTTTAACGGGAGACTACATTGAAGGGAATGTTTCAAAGCCAATCCAACAAGTAGCTTCAAAAATAGATATTTCCCAGGTCACGGTGGACCTAAGACTATATATATTATTACCGAGACGTAAGAGTGTTACATTTTTAGTTAATCTTTGATTAATATGATATTCTATATATATATATATATATATTATTACTAAAATGTAAGAGTGCTTGATTTTTTTGTATATATATATTTTTAAGATAAATCCCAAATCAACAACTTTTTGAATAAGTAATTTGCATTTTAAAAAAGAAGTTAATCTTATACCGCCAAACTTATCCCTTGAATCAAGTCCTTAAACAAAAAAGCCCTTAAGTTCGTAATTAGTTATCGTCTTTTGTCCTAAATATTTGAAAAAAGTTGTTAATTTTGTAACATTGGCTTCAAAAGTTGTTGAATTTGTAAATTTTCTTTTTTAGAAATCTATCTTTTTAGCACAGAAATTGCTGATTAATAATTTATACCACCTCAGAAGTGCTCAAGGTCAACTTTGTGGGTTAATTGTTATTTAATTTAATTTAATTTTTTCTTCTTTAATCTAGTTGGTACACATTGGTTATTATATAAAATGAGGAATACTTAATAGATGGACAAACACAAAACTAATTTATAGCGGTGGAGGACAATATGATAAAAGAAGGGAAAATTACACTTCAAATTTGAACTTGTTTCCAATTTTGAAGCAAATTACTCCAAAATCCATGTATAACTCCAAAATAATAATTTCTGAGACATTGAATAAACTCCACCTTCAAATTAAAGAAACACAAATCAAAAATAATTATTATTTGGAGCTTAATTATTATTTGGAGTTGGAGGAATAATTCTGGCTACATGAGAAGTGCAAGTGCAAAAGTGGGACCATCGGAGGGCCAAGACATTGTATGTACCGGTGCTTCAAGTTCAGACCTCATCTGAAGGCGTAAACGGTATAGTTACTTGAGTTGTCATTTGAATGCTGCATTAAAAATAAAATAAAAACTGAAACTGTACTGAATTTATCATGAAATGTTCTGATTCACAAAACAGATTTTCTTCACGTTTTAATTGATAACCAGCCGAACACGCCTGCCATCACAGTCAAAGTAGAACTCGTTAAGAAAGCAAAGCTTTAAATACACATCTCAATCATCAGAATGAATTAGATAGAGGTAAGCCCGCCTTATGTGCACTATACAAGATTGCCAAAGGGGCTAGGACATTGGGGCAAAAAAAATGGAAGGAATTTTGTGAAAGTAAATCACAAGAACATACACGAGGAACGACATTGATCATGTTTAGAGTCACCACCTCCGGCAAATCACCTGCCAGAGAATTTCTTGGCACTGACTACCAGGTGCCCTTGAAGATGCTAAATTAACAAAAGAAGGTGGACAAATACAAATATAAATACAAAGCAAAAGCCAAAAAGCAAACTCGGTCCCGTGCAAGGGAAAACCACAATTTGTCACTGGCATGGCATCGTCAGTCAGCCGAGGCAAATTTGGGGCACGGCACAACTCTCTAGCCACATTATGCATTCAAATGTGAAGCGGGCCTGAAGTCACGGCCAGAACTGTTGTCCTTGGGTTTCAAAGAAAGGTTTGCAAATTTTGAATCGAGGTCACTACTTTTTGTGCGCCGATGGTTAGAAGATTGTTGCTGCAGTTCCTGTTGATGCTGCTGCTGCTGTTGTTGCTGAAACATGGCTCGTAACCTTCCAATCTCTTTCTCCAGTACTTCATGCTCCACTGAACACACCCATTGACTGTTTTAGTTTTTGGAATAAATTATGAAATAAAATTCATATAGATCATCAAGTTGTTCATATTGGTAACCTAACTCAATCCCCCACTGTAGTCATAAAGGATGATAATTTTGTCTATTTCTACTAATAAAATGATGGCATAATAAGGAAGTCATCCCAGCTGAAAATTTTGTTGCGATTTTGTAACAGAAGAATTCTTAAACCATTATATTTTTGTCCAACACAAGATGCAAACATTTCTCACACCAAATTCATTTTTTTCAAAGCCATTGTACCATATTAATTAAGTGCTTACGTGGTATCTCCAGCAGTTGGGTAACTGTTACTGTTGATCCGTACGGGCACGTGTGTATTCGATGTCCAATGTAAGACAGAAATAGAACCACAGTTGTTCCTATTCATTACCCACACAGCCTAATTGACACTATCTCACCTTTGTCATAAAAAAAATAATTTTCTACCATACTGTTGTATGAGAAAAATAGCAAGCCTGGACCAGTCCTCAAGGGCATACATAAGGATGTGGCTTAAAGGAAAAAGAAGTACCACCATCGATCCAATTTCAAAAGCTCTCAGGAGGATGAAAATCTAGCATTAGCAGCCTAAAAAGCAGATAGAATGGTGTGCACCGGTCTTGAGACAGATCATTCTGTATTAGCTTGTAAACTACGCTAATAAGGCTGCAAAGGAACAGAGCTACAATTTGAGCCAAGCATGACCTAGTATACATGAACCTGATTCTGAGCCTTAAATTAGAAGCTAGTTAGTTAATATGTTTGTTCAAGAAAGAGCAAGTCTGAAGAAAATCAACATTTGAAAATTTGGTTGGATTTCAAGCAAGAGCTTCATCTAACTGTGCACGAGTATTGTTCACAATGCCCAAAGATGCCCCTAAATCTCCCCTTGTCTTACCTTAACCCCAAATCTTCGTCCCTTACTTACCCTTCACAAGCCCTAAAACCCAACATTTGTATCAACCTTAGTCACAAAAAGTTATCGTAATCTGCCATAACAAAATCATCCTTACCGTTGCCTACACCAAATTTGAAGTTACACTTATAGGAGTGTTCCTTACACTCGTCCTCCATCAGAAATTGTTGTTCAAAACCCAGATAATGAAATCAATTATAACCAACTAGGAAAAAAATAAAAAATAAATTATAGCCAGCCAACAAGTGAACCAAAACTAGGCAAGGCCCAATCTGAGCCTAGTACCCACTATATTGATAAGGCTACACTAAATGGTGTAAAGCTAGGCCTAGAAAAGCTGGTTCACAGTATAACTACTCAAGTTATATGTTGAGATGGCAAATGGTGCTACTAAAATAATTGCTACCAGAAGCTAAAGCTATATCAGAATCCGGTTCCCAAAAAAAGGAAGGAAACCACTAGAAATTCAAGAAATACTCGAATCTAAGAGAAACAGACAATTTAATGGTTTCCAGTGAAAAAGCCATAAAAATTCAGGGAACATTTGACCCTTTCATAATATTTAGGTAAAGCTTCTAGGAGATGCCAGCTGGTTCATTTACTTTCCCCTATTCGTTTTCACATAGTTATTCTGTAAGTTTTATTTAAGTTTTCTCAACTACCCTTCAAACTTCATATATGTATCAGCAAATTGCAATCCCATATTTTTTGGGCCACATATCCTCTTCCCACTTCCAATAACCTTTCCTGTTTCTGCTTCATGATTGATGACAGCTACGCAGAAAGTACTTGGTCCAAATGTTGCTATTTTTATTCAGCTACCACCCAATGCACACATAGACCCACACGGTAACATATGTGGCCAATTTAACCCCAATATATTTTTTCTTTTAAAAAAAATGTCTAATTCAAAAGTTCCGGAGTTTTTTTTTATGAATAACCCCACTGGACTCATCAACAATTAAAGGGTGGGATCATACTTTTTGCAAAATGTGAAACTTTTGCAAAGTTTAAAAATGAATTGAAATGTGGAAATATATTTTCGTTTGAAGTGACTGAAACTCAACTGGTTTCTATTTCAAGTTAAAAGGAGAAAAGGGAAAACGGTGGAAAATGAAATTGGCATTCTTTGTGGGATTGGCTATGTTACATGGACTCTTCAAAAATAGTGAAGTACCCGTGTTGGACATATATTGCTCGGACATGGGTATGGCATATGTGTCCGAAACATTTAGTTGGACATGTACTTAAAAAACATATCCAATCATTCAATTATATCGTGTTATTACTGTAAAATGAGTTAAAAGCCTATATTGAACACTATATTAGATAAAAATATTATTTTATTCTAGAAAATAAAATAAACTAACTAAATAAAATGAATATTTGGCAGTGTAACATAGGGAACCAGGTGTCATCTTTATGGTGCTTTTCGTTATTTAACTACCATGAAAGTAGTAATGAATCTTTAAACTCTCAATTCTTAATTTTGGTTCAATTTCATTTAAAATTATAATAATTCAAGAAAATAGTTTACTTTTGACTGTTTGAGAAATCAACTGTAGTTTTTATTTGTGTTTGATTATTTTTATAGTTTGTCAAAATATTATCTTTTTTTGGATTATTAAAATTAGTTCATTTTGTTTAGAGGAATTGGATCGATTTACATTATAATTTTATAGACAATGTGATTTGAACTTTAGAGTCAGTTTCATAGTAACCTAGCTAGGGTAAACATTACACTAGGACACCAATTAAATATTTATTAGGTTCTTCCCATTTGACAACTTCTATAATTTCTTAAATTGTACTGAGTTCCCTTCTTTTTTGAAATTTAAAATTTCATGATTTAATTAATTTTGTACAAAATAAATGAAATGTTTATGTATTACTATGAAATTGATCATTGTACGTTATAGAAATTAAAATTAATATTACCAATAGGCCTGTGGCCTAGCGGTACAAGGCTCCTACTTCCCAAAGGGAGGTCAAGGTTCGAACCTCAGTGGAGGCAGTGTGTGTGAGTCCCAACTAGGAAAAAAAAAAAAAAATTAAAATTAAAATTATTAAGTAGTTATTCACCGACTCAACTCACAATCCTGGGCCCACATCTGAATGAACATCAACTACTCTCAGATTTTAGACATATGTTTGGGCTTCCAAAAACAGAGAAACCAGATATAATAACTCATCAAAGCTTAATTACTAGGCACAGAAACTTACAGTATTTAATAAGCTGTTCCTGAGCTAAACTTTCTAAACGTTGCTTCAGGGCTTTGTTCTCCATGTTCAGGATAAGATGCTGTTGGTTGAGAAATTCAAGCTCAGCAGAAATTTCAGAACCTTCTGCCTGTAATCATATTAAAAAGATTAATATCAGCACTTCCAAATAAAATTTAGTTGCTCTTTTCTTAAGTAATTATACTTTTTTTTTTTTTGATAAGTAGCTTCTGCTGATACTTGCCTGTAAAGCTTGTACATTTGTCTCCAGCTCAGCTATGTATCGAAGTTTTCGGACTCGAGAACGTTGAGCAAATTGCCTGCATTAGATAGCTTTTAGGTTTATGAAGCCACAACCCACATATCAAATTTATAATTAAGAACCCAATTCATCTTATTTCAGCTGCAGTTTCAGTAACCTCATGCTTGTCAGTCAGAGCTTTTATTTATTTATTTATTTCATAAATAAAATTTTATGGAATTGAAGTGAAACATCAGTCAGACCATCTATTGGAACAAACAAATGTATTATTAAAATTGCAGTTATAGCTAACAATCATACTAAATAAAACCACTGCTGTCTGTATAACTAGATGAGAGAGAGATGACTAGATCTAAGTAGTATGTTTTTTTTTTTTATAAGTTTTTTTCTTTTTCCTTTGCGACGACTCGATCTATGTAGTATGTCAAAGAAAAAGATAGGCAATAACACAAAAACAGCAGCTGAAGGTCAAATTCATCTAAAGAAATAAAGGGAATGCCAATGAATATAGAAGCCAGCTAAGAATCTCAGATGCTAAAAGTAAATGGACATACTGCTTAGCACGTTTTGTATCTGTTTCAGATGCAGAAGGCTTAGCATGAGAACAATCCTTTCTTTCGGACACGGCTTTTGCATCATGTGGATCAGATTCAACTGGATCCTGCTTTTCAGTGGCCGGGGATGGAACACCATCTGATTTTTGTAGGGCACATGATGATCTTGAGCTTTGAAGAATACTGTTAGCACTAGCAGAGAGAAGGCCACTTGGGTGAGCTGTTGAATTCAAAGATGAATCCCATCCCCGATTCTTCTGTTTTCCCCAAGAATTAGGTTCCGTATAGAAAGAAGCATGCCGTGCACCTCTATAACGATCAGTTTCTTGCGGTCCCCATGAAGGCACTGAAGTTATATTTCTAGATTTGTACTCATCTTGAGCTCTGTATTCTACGTTAGTGGCATCATATGCATCTACATATGCAAATGAGTCACTTGATGAACGCCGATGACCACCTCTGCGCACAGGCGTTTCTGGCTCATCAAGGAGTTCATCCAACCATGTAGGCTGCTCCTCCATCAGAACACTCTCAGAGGAAGTACGTTGGTGGTACGAATTTCCCTCTCTAGGTTTTTCCATACCCTTTGATCCAAGAGCAGGACTTGGGACATAATCAACATATGATGGAGAAATACTTGGAAATGGACTTTTAGGAGGAAGTAAAGAGTGCTTCCCACTGTAAATCATATTTTTTATGTTTGAGGATCCTTTACTATATGCCATGCCCAGTAGAAAATGTCCCTGTCAAAAATTACTATGTCAGTGAGAAAAATATAAAAAAACAGGGGAAAGATAGTGAAAAGAAAGGAAAAGAAAATTTCCAAACAATTATATAAAGTAACATTTATTAACTCAACTAGTTGATCAGAAAAAATTGATACACAAAGAGATGATGCCAACAGAATGGCAAGAATTCGACATAGTAGCACGACTCTGAATGAAATAGAAGTTATCCTACTATTAAGGTAAGGGAGGCCCAGACACCAAGAATTTGAGCAGAATAATTATTCTGTCGCATAAATTATCAGACCAAATCTGTATGTGTTAGAAAAAATATTATCATTTCTCACTTCTCAAGATATAGTGTGAACAATAACAAACCCATAATCATTTAAATAAAACACTATTTTCGTGTGTAGTACATGCTTTCCAAAATCTAATTGAATAAAGTCGGACTATATTAGCACTTAGAGTTACTGTGTTGGCAATTTCGTTGACCAGAATACATGGTAATTGTTTGAGTTGTTTTGTTCGGGTCAGTCTAGGCTGTCTATCAGTCATGTTGGTCTACATGCTGTATTAACCTCCAGAGACAGGGTTTAACTCTCACGTGCATTTGCCACAACTGCTATAGTGGAGAAGACACAAGGGATCACTTGTTTTGGTCCTGCCTTTTTGATACTCAAGTGTGGCACTGGCTTGAAGATATATGCAAATGGGAAATCATGAGACTTCCATCTTTCAAAGCAGTAACAAACTGGTTCATCAACCATTGTCAGTCCCCTGTGAGAGGGAAGGTATCCAGACGTTTTTATACATCCATAATTTGGGGCTTATGGAATCATAGAAACAAGGTTCTTCATGGTGGAACTCCAGTTGCTTCCACTGAGGTGGCTAGGGAAGCTTGTTTTGAGGGCTTGTCTTGTTCATGTCTTTCTTTGGCTGACTTGCAGGCTATGTTTTGATTAGTGGCTTTGTTTTTCTTTCTCCAGTATAAGGGTATGCCCTATACTAGTTGTCTGCCTTTTAATTTCTTTTGATCTCTTTACAGATCATGTTTTCTTTTGTACTTTATAGTCTATTTGTATCAATAAAATTTTCAAACATTCAGGGAAAAAAAAAAAAAACTTGAAGAGAATGTGAATGAGAACTTTGATCAAAGACTATATAAAAATGGCATGAAGATTGCACAGTGATATGCAGTCAACAGTGATCAACTTGGATCACAAAACACTAGGAAAAGGTAAGTTTGACTAAGTGAACCATAAAATTGATATTTATCAAAAAAAAGTGAACCATAGAATTGATATGAATAGATTCACTTAATTGAATAAAAATATCAACATTTTTTTTTTTTGATAAGTAAATAAAATTATCAACATTTAGGGAAAAAAAATTCACTCGATTGTTCTTAGCGGACTCGGAAACTTTAAAATGGTTTTAGAATGTTTTCAAACATAAAAGCGTGTTTTGGAAACCTTAAAAAATGCTTTGAGTAGGCTGCAAGTAAATACACACGTAGGTTTTGCATTTAATCAAAATCTGGCCTTTCTACAATTCTAGGGTAATAATTAATTATATACATCTTTCTATGACCCAGAAATAGACTCGATAAGCTTTCCAACAAGATATTATTCGCCTAATTTTGAGTTCGTTTGAGTTCGTTTAACCCCTCAATGAAGCCCCAAAGTCAAATATAGTGTGCAGTCTTCTAAACATTGTGCATAAAAGTTGCACCAGTCAAAGCTCTGCCAGTACAACTTGATCCAAAGAGTTTCCTACCAGTGCAAAATGATTTTTTCACCGTTTAAACATTGCTATAACACTATTTTAATGCAATTTCAAATCAGAATCAAATTCTAACTCACCCAAAACACATCCAAACAATTCCTAATTAATTTCTAATCATTCTAAGACTTGAATAAGGGTTTCTAAAGCTTAAAAAAAGGTGTTTAGGGTTTACATAACACATGTATAACACAAATGAGAATGCGCTTGAATTCTCTCACATACATGCACATCATCAAGGTAGGTTTTATGAGAATATTATGGGAGAGAATGTTTCCTTCACACAAACAATTAGAAGATTTATTGAGAAGAACCCCCGAATTTTGTATGTGATAACTCTTGTTGTTGGAGCATTGATTGAACATCTTGAAGAGCAACTATTGGCAGATATATTCATCGCAGAATATTTGACAACTTCGGTGGAGTTGTTCAGAAGAATGATGGTTGATTCGCATAACAAACCATTCAGTAACAAATCAGTAGTGAAGGGAAGCGAATTGCCAAGGAGATGATTGTGTTGACATGGGGAACAACTGGCTTCCGAAGTCACTGGAGTCTAGATTGGCTGTGTAATGCTATACATAGGAGGTAAATCAACAGAAGGAAGGGACTGGAGTCTGTGACTCACAAAGTATGCTCAAGAAGGTGTCCCAGTGGTTTTCTGAGTTTGATTTTTTTATGTAAAAATCAGATATTTCTTTCTTCGACACTCTTTACTATATTTTTAGTTTGCATGATAATGATCAAATTAAGATCCATCAAATAGCACCCTCCTCTACGTCATATAAGCTTCAACAAATGCCACTCTCACAAATAGTCAACAAGATGTAATATTCTAGAAAAGAGTGGCATGCAACTCGTTCTTTGTGGAAAAAAGATTAATGCTGTGTCTGGTAGGAGGGATGAAAAACTGTATGGAAGGGAGAGAGGAGGGATGGATGAGGCATCCCTAGGGAAGGGATGGTGTTCATCCCTTCTTTCATTTGGTTGGACGAAGGAGAGTTAATAGATGCTATTATTATTAGACTAATATTTGCTTAAATATATAAATTAAAACATTAAAATGAGGGTAAGAATTTATTTTCAAATTTATCTATCTGACTCTTTATTTTTCTCTCTCCTCTTCCTCCCACTTTTGGATGGAAGCAAAATGGTGGGCTAGTAGGGATGGCTTCCCTCCATCCTTTCCTTCCCGTCCCTCCAGCTCTCCCTCCTACCAAATGATGAAGCCTTGTTCCTTCCCTCAAACCAAACAAATTATAAAATAAAACCTAGACCAACTGATATAATAGTAAACAAGAGATGACTCGTCAATAAAGCAATGATAATCACCATATATATCACTCATCAAGGGAATCAAGTCACTTTCATAATGTGCTTGTGGCCGTATAATCCTCTGAAACAACAAAAAGGAGTCCAAGCAAAGATTTATCTGTCATGTCATTGGCAAATTTGATGGAAAAAAATATAAACATCATTGATAGACTGTGTGTGTGTGTGTGTGTACAAGTGAACTATGAGGCCCATATAGATATATGGTTACATATATATAAGAATTCTGAGACTTTTTACATGCTTTTGGTGAGAACTGAGTGATCATCACCCTTTTATCACCCTTTCGTGTATTTGACAATTGTTTTTTTGATTTAGGATTGATGATATTCAAGAACTAAGCCCAACAATATACATCGTACTTCACAAACTGATTTGTGAAGGCAGTAGAACAAATATGTAAAAGGATGACTGACAATAGGGGCGTGATAATATTGATGTGGATAGCAAAGGGTTTGTGAGTTTAGGGGAGAGGTCAAGACGTTGTACAATTGGATTTTGGAGTAAACCTAACAACGTATTCAGCAATAAAAAGATCTTATATTTTTCTTTTCCTTTTTAATACAATAAATAAATTAACTATTCATAAGCAACATAGGTAACTAGTTTCTTTTACAACAAATGAAATATCGATGAACTATCATAATAGGTATGATAAATCAAAGAACATACATACTAATGCTTAAAAAAAATCAAAATGAAATATCAGCAAAGCACTCCAAGATGAAGATAGAGAAAAATTTATCAAGGAATTTGAATTCCGTTGTGTTGTTAAAAAGAAGAAATACTGCTACTGTTATAACAAATTCTATAAGCTCAAAGAAGGAATATATACACACACACACACACATATAAATAGCACAATCAGTATATGCACTAAATTAAATAACCAAGATACGTCAAAAAAACAGTAAATCAAAGGAATTACATATGTGCCAACAAAAAGTGCAGTATAAACAATATATATACTTATATATATGTACTCCCTCCGTCCCATTTTAATTGTCCCTTTTGGGTTTTACAATTTTTTAAGAGGACAATGCATTCGTCTTTTGAAATTCCAAAGTTACCCTTTGAGGTTTAAGTATATAAAGTACCAAGTTGTAAAATTTGCGGGCTGCACTCCCCTTTTGAACACTTTCTAATACAATCTTACTTATATACATATAAATGCTGTAAAATTTGTGAAAACTTAAAGGATATTAATGGTAAGATGCATTTAGCTTATATTGACTTTTCAAATGAGACAACTATTTGGGATGCAAGAGGTGGGTTGTTTTGAGGTAGAAAGTTGATTGTGATATTATGTCAAACTTTTGTGCTGTGTTCTTATTATAATAGTAAAAATAAAATTAAAAGAACAAAAAATAAGATTAACAACATGGGATACAAGGACATTAACCAGCGAGTGTAGTGAACTTATGGATTCATTGAAAAGAAGGAAAATTAACATACATATCTGCAAGAAACTAAACGGAAATGAGAAAAGGCTAGAGAGAGTGGAAAAAGAAAATAAACATAGCCTGGGCCAAACATATTGTTGCAACATATTATTGCCACATACTATTTTATTAGGGAGGTCATGCCTTATAAGGTAGTCGCAGTGAAGAGGATTGCTACAGTAGATATTACAGCAAATATAGTTACCAAGCCTATTCCTAAACTCAGGATCAAGCATTGGTTGGACTAAGATTGGTTTCTGTAGGTATTGAGACATCTTTTTGGGAGTGTTATTGTGGAGAAAAGCATTAGAAGATTTATCCGTTTATGAAGACTGATAAAATTCAAGATAAGGTGGAAATTTCTTGCCTATTGTATTGAATAATGAGTCCAAGAGGCAATCTTTTTAGGGGCCAGAGAACCCTATGTATTATCTCAATTTTCTTAGTGAAATTCGTCTATTATCTTCACCAGTAGACAAATGCTTCAAGTCAAACCACATTCATATTTGTAGTGTGTGCTTTGTGTGACTGTTGAAATCTCATCTTTTCCTTATTGGATCTGCTAAAACAAATTCCCATATAATATTTGCTACAGATAATAGAACAGAACCCTAACCCTCTGTTTGCTAGCCGAGAAAACAGAGTGAAAAAGAAATATATATGAATTTACATACCGTACGCTGTATTTTTAACTCTTTATCTTAAATTTGTTTCTTCAGTCCCAAACAATCAAACAGACAATCCAATATAAAATTTTATTTATTTATTTCCCATCACTTCCCACATATTCCCGGCAACCAAACAGATAACTTCAAGGAAAGTAAAATCAAAGTAAGTAATAAGTTGAAGAGAAACTAAAACAGATTCATTTAGAAAAATAAATCTGACCTTTCTTGGTGAGTGAAGGTGGGAGATTTCGAATGCAATGCGATTCCTGGAGAGAGAAAATTGAAATCCGAAGCTCACTTTCTCTCTCTCCCAGGGTTTCTTCCTCGCCAATCCCTCCTCTCTCTCCGAATACAACGCGATTCCTTGAGAGAGAAGAATATTGAATACCGAAGCTCACTCTCTCTCTTCTAGCTGCTTCCCCGAAACCCTCTCTCTCTCTCTCTCTCTCTCTCTCGTCGATGACGTCTCGGGTCAAAAGAATTTGTTATTTGCATTCACCCAAATTGGTAAGTCCCCTGCTTTTGTCTTAACATGGACATTTTGACATGTGGCATAAGTACGCACAATACTTTCTTAATGGGCACGCCTTTTCCATTCTGTACTCGCTCTGAGCCAGAGGCGGAGTCACTTAAGGCTAGGGGCTGGCCCTGCCATATATATACAATATGTATATATTATTATTTCTATGTAAGAAGTTTTATAGAAATGTTATATATTTCTATATATATATATATATGAAATTTTATAAAAATGTTAGAAAATGTCCCCCTAAAATTTTAATTTCTAAAAACATTTAATAATTTTTTTTTTCTTTCAAAATTGTTTCTTCTCTTGTTCTTTGGTTTTTCCTTTATTGTTCTTCTTAACATTTTTGTTTTTGTACACATGTATAACAGTATAAGAGCATCTCCAAGACTCCAACCAACCATTTTATATATATATATATATATATATATATATATATATATTGTAAATTTGATGTGTCCTAATAGATTAATACAGAATTTTAAATTATTTATTTCTAGTTTTAACGGTTATTTTATACTTTTTATGTAAAATATTTATGTGTTATGTTAGACCATGTAACTTCCAAACGCTAATTTTGACTTTCTAGACTTGAAAGTTATTTTAAGCAGTGGTTGGCTAATTTTTTAGAATACCTTTTGGACCTTAGAAGAGGACTTCTCCAAAACGTTATACTTTCAAAGACACACAAACAATTTATGGGTTTAATGAAACTTTCAACCTTCCTCCAAAATGCTCTTCTTTCAAAGACACATAAGCAGTACGTTTATTTATGGGTTTAACAAAACTTTCAATATTCCAAACATACCCTTCCCTTCTACTTAGGGCATCTCCGATGGACTCTCCAAATTCAGGCTCTCTGAATTTATCACGTTAGCATTTTTCCATAGCCACGTTAGCATTTCCCATAACCACGTCAACGTTTTAGAATTTTCAAATTTTAGCTTTCGGATATACTCCAATAGTGCATTTTTGCTCTCCAAAAATATTAATATTTTAAAAAATTTTATTTTTTAACTTTTTCCTAACGATTATATTTTTAAAACAACTATATCATAAAAAAATTTAAACAATACAATATTTAATATTAAAAACAATACTATACGATATAAATTTAAACAATACAATGAAGATAAAAAACAATACAATACGACATGAATTAAAAACATAACAACTAGGAAAAATAGAACAATCATATAGAATGCTTGAGATATTCTTAAAAAAAAAAAAAAACATTTTTATCTTCTTTTTTTTTTTAACTTTTTTTTGTCCAAAAAAGCCTTTAAGGCACTGTTTGTGTCAGCTAAACAGTGCCTTAATGGCTCTTTGATTTAATTATTTTGAGGAAAAAAAAAGGACCAAAATCAGTCAAAAAAATTGATTTTTTATTTATTTTTTTTCAGCCAAACATGACTTATCAAATAGTGTTCTGGGCTAAAACATTGTTTGAACCAAAATTTTTTTTTTTTTCAAAAAAGGAAAACTAATGCGGGCTCACATAGTAAGCCCGCAAATCGCCAATAGGGTCGGGAAATACCGCGACCCATTCCGCTATCCAATGGGTAGGGCCCAATTTTTGGCTACCCATTGGAGCGGTCTAATCTTCAAACCTAACCCTTCTTTGTTGAATTTTGTTCAATTGGACCTGTTCTCAGTGAAAAATAAAATTACAGTACCATTATAAAAAGGCATCGTCTTCTTTCAAAACCCTAACACAACTCGAACGACAATATTTACAACTCAAGCACAGGGATCTGAAAGTTTATCATCATATTCGATAAATATGTCGATTCTTCTGTCGAGGTCTGCTGCACCTTTTTTTCCCTCTCTTTATCAATCTAGGTAATGATAATCTTTGAGAAGTCAGCAAAATTTTAAGGGGGCCTAGCACAGTACATGTCCTGCCAGTAATGGTCGAAGGGTCAATATATATATATATATATATATATATATATAAGTGGTTTGGTCCTTTTGGTTGTTTGATGTTCTTTGTGCCTGTTCGATATCCTCTTTTGTGACATTCTTGTACTTTAAAATATATAAAGAAAAAGTGATGTCCAGCAATTTGATATAAGTACAATAGTCTGTCATAGTCTGGCTCTCTAATTTGAACTAAACATCCCATCTTTGACCTCTTACAATGCAAGAATTTGGTTTTTTTTCTTTTTCTTTTTTTTTTTTTTCTTTTGCTTGAACAGGCTTTCCCCCTCCATTTGACTTCATTCTTTAATTTTTCTACTTAGGAATCAAAATCCAATTTTTTATTTTTTTATTTATTTTTTTTTGGATAAAAAAATTTCTCAAATCCCAATTTTTTTGTTAGGTTGCTTTTACCTACCGAAATGCTTACTAGGTGAGCATATGTTCTAACTTCAAAATATTGTCTTGGTTAAAAAAAAAAAATTCAAAATGTTGTCCATGTTAGCATTTTTGGTTATTAATGAAGCAACCCATAACAATGGAAAGGAAAATATAAGTTAAAGGAAAAAAATTTTAATTTGGAATATACATATGATTATAGTCACTTTTTTTAAATAGGCAGAGAATGATATATAACCACCACCATTCAAACTCTAACAACCTAACCCTATTATCTATTTTATTTAAATTTAGAAATCTTACTAACAACATAACACTGACGTGATATGTTCAATTTGAATTAACTTTCAACACTCCTCCTTAATTCAAATTTTCAAACTTCTTTAACAGATTTTAGGGTAAGTTTTCAAATTTCTACTACTGTTTCTTTGAATCTTTTGCCAGCATTGTTGCTTCTTTCACGCTTTGTTTTGTTTGAAAATTTCAGTCTTTTTAGGCTTGTCTTCCACTGGTTTCTTCTTTGTCTTTTGAATTCTCAGTGGAGTTGTTTTTCCACTACATGCAACCATTTCTTTCTTCTTCTCATCATCCCGAGCTTAGAAAAATCAAGAGGATAGATATTATTATAAGACATTTTTGAAAACAATATTAATTTTTTATCTCCTTTGTTGTACAACATGCATCTGTCATCTTCAAACACAACTAAATAACTTTTCTTGAGTAGTTGTCCCAAACTGATCAAAATTTTGAGCCAAACCTTCAATCAATTTTTTACTAAAATTTGTATTCACTGCAATGGTTCCCTTGCCTTGAACTTGCACCCTAATTTTGTCGTTCCCCATACGCACTTGAGATTTTATAGATTCATCAAGTTTAACAAAAATAGATTTATCTCCGGTCATATGATTACTGCAACCACTGTCAAGATACCACATATTTTTTTTTTTTTTGTAGTGGCATTAAGGCAAAATATGAATAGATGTTCATCATTAGAATTTTCATCTTTAACTTTTTCTTTATCAACTCTTTCCTCATGAAAGTAAGCTTGATTTTTAGGATTATACCAACGGTCTTTTTCATTATGTTCATAATTTTTTCACAAAAGGAAAATTGAAGGTATTAGGATTCTTATTTTTGTACCAACAATCCTGTTCAATATGACCCTTCTTCGTATAATGAAAACAAATAGGAATTTCACTATTGCCTTTATTGAATTGTCTCCGTTTTCCATTGAATTGATTCGCTCTTTTGCCTTGAAATCTATAGTTTTTCCCTTTCCATTTGAGCCTCTTTTTAATTCTAATTTTTTTTTTAAAGCTTGCTCCACTTGACTTTCTGTAGACATGTTTAATATTTCTTCATGCATTTTTAGTGATCCCATCAATTGAGTAAAAGACAACTTAGATAAATCTGTTGACTCCTCAATTACAGCTACGACACTATTGAATTTAGGAATTAGACTTCTCAAAACTTTTCCAATGATTTTTTCATCATTCAAATTTTCGTTAAGAGATTTTGCTTGATTAACAATAGAAGTAACTCTAATTAGGTAAGCATGAATTGACTCAGAACTAATTTTCATCATCAATGTTTCAAACCATGACGGAGAGTTGTAACCTTAAAGTAATTACCTGACTCGATCCTTCGTACTCATTCTAAAGCAACTCCCATGCTTCTTTAGATGTTTTGGCTCCCATTATTCTTGGAAAAATAGTGTTGTCTAACCCTTGTTGGATATAGGACAAGGCCTTGGCATCTTTCTTCTTATTTTATTTCAATGTTGTTCTTTATGAAGCAGTAACTCTCTCTTCCTGATTATCATTTTCTGCGTAACCACTCTCAACCAGTTCTCACAAATCAAGAGAAATAAAAATTGTTTTCATTTTAATACTCCAAACCAAAACTGGTAATTTGCACCTTTGAAAGTAGGAACAATTGGATGAGAGTTGTTATTACCTATTGCGGCCATCGTTTTTTTTTACCTCAACCTTTTTTCATGCTTTTGTGTATACCCGGTTGATTGTCGACTGCTCTAACACCACCGTTAGCCTTTTTGGCTATTAATGAAGCAACACATAACAATAGGGGAACATGAAGGAAAATATATGTGAAAGAAAAAAATCACGTAAATTATTTTAATTTGGGATACATATATAACAACCTAACCATATCAACTATTTTATTTAAATTCAATAACCTAACTGACAAAATAACACTGACGTGATATGTTAAATTTGAATGGACTTCCAATAGTCCTTGCATTAAGTGTTGACCTGGGGTATATGCTTTGTTAGTAGTCCATAATACATAATACATTGGGCGGGCTTTGCCACTAACTATAACACATTTGTCATAATTTGGCTCTCTAATTTGAATTAATAAACAGTTAAACTTTATATTTTTATTGTTAGGATTTGATTTATATTTCATGTGTTACATTTATATACATGTGTATATATATGAGTTGAATGTTGTTAAAAGTTCTGGTTTAAAAGATATATATATATATATATATATATATAATATACATGTATATGTATATTCGAAGCATATATGGGACATATATTCGTCCATCACTTCTAGTGGATGAGTAAATCTCTTGTATTGGTAAGAAAGGATGTCCTACTCAAACTATAATGGTCATATGCAAGT